CCTGTATATGTCCTTGTGGCATTGATCGAGAATGGGCAGCATTGCCCATAAGCTCTGATACTGCTCCACCAGCAAGCCGCACAATCTACGCTGTGCTTGCCACGGTGACAGAAAATCTCCATCATTTTGCTGCATGTATTGGAGGATCTAAGCTTTCTCAGTAAATACAGCTTGCTCGTCCCCTTTTTGTATACAACTTCTTTGTTGAGGCGGCTAGACATGGCTAGCCGTGAAAGCTTTCTTATACAGAAACTTGACACTTGGAATACAACAACATGAACAATAAACTATAGCAGGAATCAGTTGCTTGTAACTATGAACAGGAAATGGGCAAAGGAGTCGTGGTTTGGGGCCAGTGAATAGAATCACTGAAATGGAGAGAAGGAAACGTCAGTAGGTTCACTGGGGAGATGGCCAGTAAGTGAGCTCGAGTTTTATCTTGTCTTGTCCGCAGGCAGGTTGTGACATGGGGGCCAGGCAGATGGTGAGGTCTGGGTGAGTGCTCATTGATGTGGGTCCAAAAAGAGTACAATGGGTGAATGCAGGGAGGCAGGCAGGCGGAGGACCAGAATGCCGGGGATGGTGGCTGTACACGGTGTGAGAGACCAGCGTCCAGGTGAGTGGGGTGGAAGGATGATCCAAGAGTACGAAATCACAGACACACAGTCAATAAAACAAGAATACTATCGCTCAACAAGAACTGCACTTAGCGGCCAGGCACTAAAGAGGGTTAATAGATAATCTGGCAAAGAGTCATTGAGAGCACTGGACTTAAATACAGCAACGGGGATTAGCAACAGGTGTGTATATTTAGACGGGTTGCTGAGGCACCACCTGTAGGCAGAGACACACACCCACTCACCTGGACCATGAGATTCTTCTTTCAATCTTCTTCCAATTCTGTTGTCAATGTGGATTTTCAGGCTACCTGTACAGTACATGCGACCATTTCAGAACAGTCAGAATGTTTCTGCAGGTGGCATGACTGAATGTACTGAAGAGATTAAGAGATGCACTGAATGTCTGATGTGCACAAAGTGAACATGAATGCAAACAGAGCAGTCACCTGTACTGCACATCATTAAATCAGACAGAGCCCTGTCCCAAACTACTGTGTAGCTGTTTTTATTGAGTTTAAAAACATGGTATCCAGTATTACTTTGTACATCCAAAAATAATTTCTGGGAAAAAACACAGTGTTTCTTACTTCATTTCATATTGATCTTTGAATTTTGAGGTTTTGGATTTTCCTTGTTAATTGGAAAATGAGTTCGGGCCCTTGCAACATTGCTGAGACCTGAATTTCTTATTTCTCGTAATAAATTGTTGCTATTTTTTTTATCCTGTTATAAAAAAATAGCCAAACAATCGAACACTGTTTGGTTCATGTTTCCATTACTACTGTGTTATTCGCGTTCTATTTCCAGTCTAGTCTTTATGGAGTTTTAGATGCCTATATCTGGCTTAGGTTATTTTTGTTCTTTTTTTAGTTAAAAAAATATTAATATCTTGATTTGTATTTAGTTTCAGTTCCTTCTTTGATTTATTTGTGTTTGATTCCCACAGTGTTTGTCTAATTGTTCCTTCTTCTGTTTCATCCTTCAGGTCTTTGTGTATTGTCTTCATCTTACTGCAATGTCTTCTCTTCCTCTAGAGTGTTAAAACCAAGTTTACCTATATGTGATTTTGAAAATAATCCTTAATTCTAATCAGAATATAATATACAAGTCTAATCAATATGATGAATAAGAAAATACAACCTGATGAATGAAATTATTCTAACATTTGATTAGATTCTGTGTGGAGTGGCATGTTTGTGCTAACGCTGACCTTGGGCTTAGACAGGGTCTAAGATGGGATGATGGGATGAGTGAGACACTTGAGAGGCTGAATTGTCTCAGAGGATCTCTGACTTTAACTTCTATGATTTGAAAAAGAAGCTATATTAAGTTTACTGATCATGTTGAAATCATAAATAGGCAGGCATGCA